CCTCCCCCACAAAAGCCTGGCAGGGGGCTCACACGAGCAGTTTGGCCGCTTGCAGCTACAACCGACGGGTTTCCTGTTGCCAGGCAACAGTGATTTCCGCACCTCAGGTCAGGGGCCAATGCCCTTGGCGCAAAGTCTTGTGGGGCTTGTAGTTCCCGCTGCAGTCAGTTTCTTTGCCCACCAAGTCAGGCTCCTGCCTGGGGCCCAGTCTGCCTGTGACGGCAGGCGCCTTCCCCAAGCAGCCTTCGGACGCCCTGACCCTGTGCGGTCATGGACTCAGCAGAGTCTGAGAGGAGACCAGGCGCCCAAGAGGGGGAGACCCCGGGGCCACCACAGCTCGGGGAGGCAATGGATGGCCATGTCCAGAGCTCTGAGGTGACTGTTGGGTGGGGGCCCACACTGTGCGACTCAGCCCCCTACCTTACAGGACAGGCTATGCCAAAGGGGAGGGGCACGGGCTGGTGCCTTTCATCCTATTTGGTGTCTAATGACTGATCCTTCCATCCTTTGCCTGGTTAGTGACCAGTTACCCTTGTCACCTCTAGTGTCCTGTGACAGGAGACCAATGCCTGGTGCCAGCCCATGAGACCTGCTGGACCCAGGGTGAAGATAAGTGCCCCACAGGTCCAGCCTCAGAGCCGGCGCTCCAGGAGGGCAGACTGCAGTTGGAGGAAGAGAGGCTCAAGCTAGAGGTGGAGACGTTGGAGGAGACAGGCCCTCGGCCTATGACTTCCATTGTGAGGCCCAGTCATGGTCCCAAGAGGAAGCCAGTCAAGTGAGGAGGCTTCCAGAGGGAAAAGCTGCAGGTCTGGGGTGGAAACACACCTGACTGGGGTTCCTAGTCCCTCACGTTACCTTTTCTGTCCCTCAAGAGCCCTGTTGTAAGGAACATGAGAGGGAGGGAGTCTCAAGATCTCCATGAGCTCCTGGCACTTGTCTAGCCTTGGGCCTCACTGACCAGGAAAGGGACAAGATCCTGGGCCCAGGGTGGCGGGTAGGCAGGGCTATTCCCTGGGCTTGAGGCTGGCTCCTCAGGCCTCCTGTCCCTGGCTCTGGTCCCCCAGCCTCCCAGGGCTTAGCCACCAAGCCCATCCTAGGACTGAAGCTGAGCTGCCAGCGGGGATACCGCTGCAGAGGGAGGAGCCAGAGGGCAGCCAAAGTGAGACCTCACCGACTGCCAAACAGCACAAAAAAGCCAAGAAGCGCAAGAGTCTGGGGGCCCCAGTGCTCCCAGCCGTGGCCAGCACAGCGTCTGCACCCTCAGAAACCCTGGGTCTGGAGCGTGAGTGGCAGCCCTGGGCCTCCCTTCCGCACCCCCCACTCCTGCCTGCTCGGCCCCTGACATGACGCAGCCTGGTACCCCAGCCCCTGCTCTACCCCCGGCCCTTGCAGGAAAGGCCCAGCGCCTGCGCCCCCTGTACCAGTACATCAACTATTGCAATCCTGAGCTGAACCAGGCGGGGGAGGGGGACAGGGAGGCCGAGGTGGACATGGAGCCCGAGTCGGAGCTGGCCCTGGCCTCCGAGGAGGCGGGTGTGGAGCAACTACAGGTCTTGCTGCCCATCGCAGGTGAGCTGGGCTCAGGCCTCACTGTGCCCTGCCCCACCCAGGGACAGGAGGCCAGAGAGGAGCCTGGGGGGCTGCCCAACTTGGGAGTCAGCGGCCACCTCAAGGCTGAGGTGGATAAGTCAACCCAGGTGGATATCGACAAGATGCTGAGCGTCTGTGCTGCCCCTCCCGTACCCCCGCTTTCTCCTCAATACAAGTGACTGTCCTGCCCCCGTGCTGGCCTCCCCCCTCCAGGTCTGGACATCAGCGGGCTGCGCACCTAGGCCCTCGGGGTGAGGGGAAATTGGGTCCCCACTTGGAACCTTGCACTAGTTGAAAATAAATGTTTTTATTTTCTTTGTGGTTCCCCAAGCAAGAAGCCTGAAGAGGGAGAGACTGGAAAGGGCATAAAATTCCCCAGTGCCTGGGGCTGAAGGCTGACTGGTTATTTGGATCACTCAGGAACTCGACAAAAAATAGATTCCTGGTCCACCCTGACCTAAATGAACCGAATCTGTAAGGACAGAGTCTGGTTCTGGGCTCAAGGCTCCCCACTTGAAACTGAAGGTCACGGTGGGAGAAGGTGGAGATAAGGAGGAACCTTATGGAGAAGGGAAAGGGCCCGCCAGGTCACGGGTCTCCTGGGAAACAGGGCTGCACTGGGTCTGGGCTGAGGGGCCCAACATTGTGATCCCCCTCCGAGGTGGCCCAATCCCTCTGCCAACCCCAAGAATGGCAGCTTTGGCATGCTTCCCGCTTACTGCCAAACCACAGCCAGGCTAGACAGCGTCCTCAGTGCAGCACCTGGCCTGGTGACAGCGTCTGGAGGCCTGTTCCCTGGCAGGCAGGGGGCGGTGGGGGAGGTGATGCCCTCTCCTCCTAGGGCCGAGCCCCCCAAGACTGCTGCCGCTTGCCCTCAGGGGTCTTTGAGAAGAGGCAGCCAGTGCTGGCCATTTTAAAACCCCTCTGCCTCTGGTCCTCCAGCTTGTCCAGACACCTCAAATACAGGGAATTCCGAATTAAATGACTTTTCCTCCCTCCAGATGTCTTTTCCTCCTGTATTTCACCCACACAATCATTCCAGCCAAATCCCTTGGTGTCACCTCAGATCTGCTCTGTTCTGTTTGTTGACCCCTACAAGCTAGCCTGGCCGGGGAACCTACCCTGTCAGGCTGACATGAAGCCCACAGTTTGCACCCTAGCCTGGGCCATCTATAGACGAGGCCTGTGGCCTCTCGTCCCCAACCCCCAGCCCTCAGTGATCCTGCTGCACACCCCCCTGCGCCCCAGCCGGTACTGTTCCCCCTCTGGCACTCTGCTCCTCTTGCCCCAGCTGCCTTGAAACTTTTCAGTAGCTCCCTGACCCACAGCGCCTTTTCTTACCTCCACACTGCTAAAAGCCTTTATGCCTCCCCCCCGCCCCCGCCATTGGTACACACTGTCCCTTGCAGACTCAGGGCACCCTGCTTCCTGCACAGCCACCAGTGATGCCTGCAGTTAATGTCCATGCAGGTTTGTCACCACTGTTGAGCCATCTGCAGGCTGAATCAGTTGCCCCAAGGCACAAGTCATTGCACCCCACCCACCCGGCAGGCAAATCCTCTCATCCCAGACCCACCCTGTTCTTTGTCCCTTCCCCATTCTGCCTTTCACAGGTTGCCGGGTGCAAGCAGCCTCCCTGAATTGTCAGGCTGAGACCCCCCCCTGCCTACACCCTTCCTCACTCCCAGCCTGGCAGCCTGGCGGCCGTGCCGACTGTTGACCACACCTCCTCTGTGGGACTGGCATCTTCTACTGTAGCTTTTCCCCTGGCATACCCTCTGCCTAGAAGCCACCAAACCCTCTCCTTCAGCCGCCAGCTAGAGGGTCGCCCCCTCATTCCTCCTCCCAGAGGCAAGTGGCAGCCACTCCGCCTCCTCTGGCCCACAGCCTGTTCTCAGCTCTTCTGTGACTTGTCTCCTTGCAGCTGGCTGCAACATTTTCCCCTCAGAGCAACCTCCCAGCCGTAGTGGCGATCTGTTCCTCTCTGCGGTTACCATCACCCACTCTGCTTAGACAAGCACGTCACGTAACAGCCTTCAGGGAGTTCTGACTACTGAGGCCATCAGGAGACTAGGCTGGCAGCGTGGCGGTGGGGACCGGTGTAAGGCACGGAGGGGTCTTGGCCCGACATTCTGCCTGGGCAGTGTGAAGGGCGGAGTGGGCAAGGGGCTTGGGGACAGGGCTGTGGGAGGCTGCTGCGGTGTGAGGCTAGATCTGGTGGCAGTGCGGGGCTGGAAAATAAGGAACACTTGTTTTGGAAGTTGTTTTTTTTTTTTTTTTTCCTGGTAGCTGTAACAAAACATGAACTGCTCTGTGTCTGGTCTGGAAAATAAGGAACACTTGTTTGGAAGTTGTTTTTTTTTTTTTTTTTTCCTGGTAGCTGTAACAAAACATGAACTGCTCTGTGTCTGGTCTGGAAAACATTTTACTTTGACACAAGGAAGATCCTGAGTTTTGGGAAACAAGTTCTGGGAGCTGCTATTGATTCCCACCAGAAGGGGGCGCTGCAGGACAAGGATGGAACCAATCAGCTCTCAAGCTCTCAAAACGGGGGTGGGGGGGCGCAGAACTCCATGGCCAGACATCTGGGCCACCTCAAGGCAAGGCAATCCCCTCATTTCTGACTTGGGACTGACCCACAAGATGCACAGTGGATGGAGGTGTTCTATTGCTCAATTCCTAAATTTGGGAGTGATCTCAACATCCTAGAAACACAAAAGGACTGACCTGGAGGGGAGCTGATCTTCCCCAGAAGGCAGGGGTGGCCTCCCCTTTGTTAGTTCTACCAGCATCGTGCCAGGTGGGACTCTCTGCCGTCCAAGTCCCAATTCAAACGAGGCTGAGATTCTGGCTGAGGAGGCAGTCACCGGGGTGGGAACCTGAGCAGAGGGGCATGATCTGGGCACTCAGACACTGGGGATCCACAACTGCTGGGAAGAGAGTAGATCAGGGTCACGTCAGGTTCTGCAGTCAGAGGGCACAGACCAGTCTCTGGTGCTGTCAGTTACAACTTAACATGGGGCAAGTAACTTTGCCCCATTGCCTCAGTATTCCAATCTGAATAATGGGAGTATTTACAGTTATACCTCAGAGTGGTTTGGATGTTAACTGAAACAAGTGTCTACCCCAGCATGCAAGGAGCACACCCCAGCATAAGCCACTATTATTTCATCTCACGAGGACAATGTTTGAAATCAGGACAACACAGAAAAACAGGCCTGGTGATTCCCAAAGAAGGGAGCCAAGAGGAAGAGAGCCTCCCCGAGTCTGTCTTGTCCTGGCAAGGAGCCCAGGGCAGGGCAGAGTGGGGTTACTGCAGAAGGGAAGAGTTTGGTCTAGGTTAACCTTGGCAGAGGGGACAAGAGGCACGTCTTCACCAGCCCACCCCTGACAGACATGGGAAACAGCGTCCAACAGCATTAATAAAAGCATGGCGGGTGACTGGCTGTCCGGCCCCGCCAGCTTCCTCTTCCTCCTGTCCAGTTGCCCTGGAACCCCTCCTCAAACTCCCTTTTGGGGAGTTGGGGGGTCCTGTGGCCACAACTCCATGCTCCCACCAACCCTCAACCCCTTGCTCCCACCACCCTCCCAACCTCAGCCCAGCAAAATACCAAGCACTCTCCTGAAGCAGGAGCCAACAGGTCTCCATCAGGAAGCCTTGAACCCCAGCTCTGAGTAAAGACTTCTTTGGAGGACTCCTGGGATATGGCCGCAAGGGAAGAAGTGGGGAGTTGAGGAAGGGCAGGGCAGGAACCTGTATGGCCACTAGACACAGGGCCAGGCAAGGCAGGAGCATGAAAGAGAAACAGAAACTACAGCAACAGAGAAGCCTTTTGTTTAAATTAAAGAAACCAAACCACCACAACCACATGCCATGGTGCTATAATTTTTGATTTATTAACATTTATCAGATGTTCCGGAGCTCTCCCTTACCTCCTTTCTGCCAAGTCAGGTGCCCTTTGCCCCGGGCCAACAGCCTGAGAGCTCATGTAGGGAAGCGCACCCTCCGCCCAGCCAGGGAAGGGGAGCCTGTAGGCAGAAGGGCTCAGCCCGTGGGTGGGAGAGCAGTGTATCGCTCAGGGCTGACTTGCTGCCCTCCCATTCCTGAGATGCCCTAGCCCAGGAAGGGTCTAGAAACAAGAGTGCTTGTCTCTCTCCTCGGGCCTGAAGAATCGGCCAAGCTGGCCGTTGTTTTGTTTTCTCATCTAGGCAGGACCATAAATCAGGCTGCAAGAATCCCCCAAGTCAAGCTTTTGCTGGCCACGCTCACCAGTGTGACACAGAGACCCGGCTCGGCCTGTGCACCTGGCGCGTCCTCTTGGCCACCGCGGGGGCGTCACGGCCCTGTCTGTGTGGACATGAGCAGACCGAAACAAGCTGCTGGAGAGGCCATTTCCCAGGGCCACCTGTGGCCTCACCCAGACCCTACCTCAAGTGGACTTGTTAAATCAAAGATACTGCGTGAGCGCCAAGACCTCCCATCCCCGTTCCTGGTCTGTCCTGGGCCCCGGGGCCCCATGGCAGGAGCCCACAAGCCGCCTCACAGGTTATTCCGCTGGAGCGCCTCGCACAGATTCTGGTTGGCATCGGGCTCCTCCTTCAGCACCTCCACAGCCTCCCACTCCCCCGATCTGCTCGACCTCTTGATGGCATCCACTACGCTCTGCATGTACAGCCCGTCCTCGAAGGAGGCGGCCATGGAGACGGGGGTGTGGTCCCAGGTGCGGCGGTCGCCCTGCCCCTGGAAGGACTGGCGCAGGGCCTGCACCATGTAGACCATGCCCTTCAGGTAGAGCAGGGGGACGTCCTGGGGCCCCTGGCCGGGCAGCCCCGCGTCCACGGCCAGCGAGTCCCTCAGCAGCAGCTCCTCTCGCGTGGCGGAGTTCTTCTGCCCGTAGAGGTCAGCTCCCCTGGCGACCAGGCGTCCCGCGGAGCCCACCACCATGACCTCGTGCACAAAGGCGCCCGGCATGTTGAAGTTGAGTGTCACTGTGCTGCACACCCCCCCACCCATGAGCATCTGGAAGAAACAGAAGTCATCGCTGGTGACGTGCCGGATGCCCCGGATGGCCGCGTTCTGCCTCACGAAGGTCTTGAGCAGCCCGTGCACCTTCTCTGCCCTCCGGCCAGTCAGGTGGGTGAGCAGGTCCACGATGTAGGTGCCCATGGTGTGCAGACCCCCACCGCCCATGAGCTCGTCGCAGATCCAGCCGTAGCTGGGGCTGAGCAGGCTGCCCGAGTAGACGCGGGCGTCGCAGATGAGGACGGCGCCCACGTACTGCTCGGCGATCAGCTGCTTCATGCGCACGAAGGCGGGCAGGAAGCGCAGCACGTTCCCCACCAGGCTCATCAGCTGCGGGTAGTAGCGCGAGGCCGTCACCATGCGGAAGGCGTCCACCGAAGTCGCCGCCTTCTCACAAACCACATTCTTCCCAATTCCTGAGAATAAGACACGACAGGAAATCTCAAGAAGTGCCAGGGGGTTCACCCTGGGGGTGGGGCGAGAAACAAATCACTCTTTGAGACTGATGGATTCGGGAAAACTCTCCTCTGACCAGAGGAAAGGGCACTCAGCTTGGGATGAAAATGGCACCCAGTCAGTGACCAGGACAGTTATTAAGGAGTAATAAGGGGAAAGAGGGCGTTCTTCAGTGAAAGGAAAGACGCAGACTGGAAGTGGGGCGTCGGGAGCAGTGGGTGAACTGGCTACACACCGTCAGTGTGGCTAGGCTGCGGTGACCGTCAAAGTCAAGCCAAGACACTAGAGGGCTGGTCCAGGTGAGCCTGACAGTGACAGCAGCAGGCCTCGGGCAGACTACCCACCAGCAACACCCGTGAAGGCCTCACAGTAAGGGCCTCCCTGAAGAGGAGGCGAGTCTTCCTCCAGGCTCAACTACTTCTGCCTCCAGACTCTCGCTGGCATTTCCTGTTGGCCTGTCCTGCATATTTCAGATTCATCAGCTCCTATAATCGTAAGAAACAACTCCTTAAACTAGATCTCTATCTACCTCTCTAAATGCATTGCACTGGGTCTGTTTCTTTGGGGAAGAGCGGCTCAAACTGGTAGGCTGGAGAGGCGGACCCGTTTCGTGGATGTGCCTCGAGCCACACAAGTGATGGCAAGCTGGGAACGAGTGAAGGCCCTCAGCTACTCCATTACTCAACTCTACACATGCCCGTGATGGGAGGCTCAAACATCACTACCCCGATTCCCCAAATCAGGGGGTTCTCGAGGGAACATGCTTAAAGCCCGGTGGGAGCACAGAGCAACTCTCCCCTGCAGAGGGGAGGATCAGGGGAGAGCTTACAGGGGAGTGACAGCGGGGTTAAAGGGAGCAGGTGTTCCAGGCAGCATGAGGGGCAAGTGCTGCATTTCTCAGCTCTGGGTCTGTGCCACAAGATGGGCCAGAGGGGTCACACGGACCGATAAGCAAAGTGAGAAAATGTGTAGAGACAGGTCTGGGGGTGGAATCCAAAACTGAGCACCAGTTACTTCCCTCCTGGTCTTCCCCTTTCCAGTTCATGGTGACTCCATGCTTCCACCTCCTTGAGCCAGAATCACTGTGGTCACCTCTCATAGCCTACACTGAAAATGAGAAAGTTTACAGACATGACTGCTGTCAGACATGATGTCCCAGGATCACCGACTGCTCAGGAAGGGCCAGTCACTGTACTGAGCTCAAGCTTTGGAGCCAGACATCTGGGTTCAAATGCTGGTTCTTTCATTCATTGCTGAATAACCCTGTGCAGTTCTAAACATCTCTAGGCCTCAGTAAACTGTGAAATGAGAATCACATCTATCCTGCAGGGTAGAAGAGATGACTAAATCAGATGAGGCAGTGTCTATAAAGCACCACCCCCAGCTCTGCCCTGTGGGTGACAAGATCATGACCACAACTGTGGGGGAGACACAGCAGATGCCAGAAACAAACAGAAAAAAAGGGTCCACTGTGGTTTAGACTGTAAGACTCCCAAAGCAGCAACTTTTTCTAGGCCTCTCTAGTGGTGAAGGGTTAAAGACACAGCACTATCACGCTATGGCCAGGTAATGCAGCCTGAGTTTGATCCCCGGCCAGGGAGCTGACCCACATGGTGCAGCAGCCCCCTCCTGTCTTGCCTGCTGCTCCCCTCAGCAGTGTGTTTCAGTACAACAGCCTGTTCTGCTCCCCACTCTGTCTCTGGTGAGTCCTCTCATCCCCCCACCTCTGGCCTGTACCCCAGTTCCGGTATACATAAATAAATCTTTTTTTTTTAAAAAAGCTACATTTTCAGATGGCCAACAAGCATATGAAAAAAAATGTTCAACATTACTCGTAATAAGAGAGATGCAAATTAAAACCACAATGAGATACCACCTCACCCCAGTGAGAATGGCACATCTTCAAACAACTAGCAACAACAAATGTTGGTGAGGAAGTGGAGAAAAAGGAACTTTTCTGAACTGCTGGTGGGAATGCAAACTAGTGCAACCACTATGGAAAACTGTCTGGAGGTTCCTCAAACTGCTAAACATGGAGTTTCCCTGTGACCCAGCAATCCCACTCCTACGTACCTACCCAAAAGACACAAAAACACTGATTCAAAAAGATACCTGCACCCCCATGTTTACTGCTGCTTTATTTACAATTGGAAAGACATGGAAGCAGCCCAAATGCCCAAAAGTGGATGACTGGATTAAAAAGATGTGGTACATATATACACAATGGAACCAAAAACGATAAACACATGCCTTTTGCAGCAACATGGATGGAGCTGGAAAAGATCACACTTAATGAAATAAGCCAGAAAGAAAAAGAAAAATACCAGATGGTTTCAGTCATAGCAGGAGTATAACGGACCAGGCTAGAAAATAATAACGATGAATAGCCATATATCAGAGACATTTTGCGGGGGTGGAGTGGGGAATGGGATCAAAAACAGGGGAGAGGGAAGTGTACTGGACTATTCTGATGGCACACAGGTGATTTGGTAAAGGGAAGCCCACGGAGCTTACAACTGAGATGGAAAAATGCACAAAATGATGTAAAAATAAACTATTATTTTTTTAAAAGCTACATTTGGCATGCTAGTGATTTTGATGTTCAGTATTTTAAGAAAAGAGAAGAGTTTTAGGGTTTGGGGGAGGAAAAATAAAGTTTTAATATCAGCATGAACATGGATGGATTTTCCCATTATATGTGCTATTTGTCAGGCCTCTCTGAGAGTCAGGCCCAGCCTACCCCTTGGAAATTCTCACCCTGAGAAAGAACACAGGGAACAATCCGGTATCTTTAGTCAATCCTTTAAGCTCCCCTCACTTTCTGCTTCTAGCGCTAACTCCTAACAATTAAGAACCCCATAAAACAATTCATTTGTACATATGGAGGGGGTCTGAGACCTGAACCCCCAGAATGTAGAACAGAAGATGTTATTTGTAGCCTATGACAGAATTCTATCTCATTACTTGACAAAACTCAAATCTCCTGTGCTTCCCTAAATAATAAAATAATTTGCCAACAGGAAAATATTCAAGGTCACACGCCCAGGTTAGGGAGCGCCATGTGGACAGAGCGGGGAGGCCCAAAGGAGAGCGGAGGTGTCAGCAGGGGGACCCTGAGGAAGCACCCGCACTGTGTTCCTCTCGGAGTCTCTGATGCTTCCCCACGCAAGTGGGATTTCAAGATTAACGACAGAGAACCCAGTAGTGGGTGAGAATCTGGTTGCCTGGCTGTAGAGTCCAGATCTCTGACTGAGGAAGGAAGGACATCAGGTCCTCAGATGCAAACACCCTGTGTCTCAGAGCTGGATGCGTCCTTCAGTGATTGCTCTGGCACAGCCTGGAATGGGCACTGCAGTGTGGGGAGAGAGGGGGTGGAGGGGAGAAAAAGGACTTTTGTGGCTGCTGGGAGTCTGATGGTGATAAAGCTAGGCTCCATTTCATGCCCCAAGAGGTCAAGGAAAGGGGAAAGACCTCCTTTCTTGAGCTAGAACAATAGGAGAGCATGCGCATTAGGATCAGTGTGGGAGCCAAAGTCGGGCCTGAGGAAGGCTGCCACTGCTAGATAAGTTTATCCAGCTTCCCTGTTAGGAAGTCAATGCAAAGATTAGAGAAGCTGAAATGGCTTTCTGTCTCCAGGGAACTGCACGGACAGAGCAGAGCGTTTCACGCTGCCAGGCCTCTCTCCAGCTCAGACTCCCAGACTGCCCAGGAGTGAAGTGCCCTTGGGCAGCAGAGGCTCAGAGAAGCTGCCCCACCACCTCTCTGTCCCGGAAGCATACTGCAAGGGCTCACAGCTCTGGGCCCATGACACCGGATCCCCATCTAGAGGGGGGGCGCAACATGTGATTTCAAACAGCAGGTAGACAGGCAGCCCAAGAAGCGCCGCTTTTGTGTTTTATAAGCTCCAGGGGAAGGAGAAGGAGCAAAATGAGGGTGGGAAGAGCACAAGGGACTACGGATGGTGTACGGGTGAGCTGTGGTGGGATTCTGAGGACTGCGACTGATGTGAAATATGTAAAAATAAAGAAATTAATGAAAAAAAAATAAGATCCAGGGATTTTATGTTTTTAAACAACAAACAGCTGCTGCTACTAGATGATTAACTCACTTCTTTCCTGGGTGCAGGTCAGTGTTAGCCGGCAGGGTCACCCCAGCAGACTGAGCACATTTGCAAATGACTTCATTTAGCCATGGGCCAGGCCCTGGGCCAAGCGCTGGGGGCTAGGACATTGGGCAAGGTCTCCACCTTCAGACAGCTAGCTCAGTGGGAGACACAGGCGCTCATTAGAATGCCACCACATGGGGATGTGAGGGCAGAGAGCAGCACCTGATGAGGACTGGGGAAGGCGGCCCAAGGGCCTGGAGTTCTTGGGATTTAGTTATCTGGGTCAGGCTGCTTGGGGAATGATCTATTGTTATCACAAGAGCACATGGGAAAAAAGCTTAGCAAACTTAATATTTTTCTAATGAAGCACAAAATGCTAAGAACTGGGCATAGAAACCCACCTTTCAGCAACAGATTTTTTTTTTAAAGATTTATTTACTTGTGCATACAGAACTGGGGTACAGGCCAGAGGTTCAAGGGCGGCGAGAGGCTTCACCAGAGACAGAGAGGGGAGCAGAACAGGCAGATCGACGAAGTACACTGCTGAGGGGAGCAGCGGGCGGGTCAGGAGAGGTCTGCCTCGCCATGTGGTCATCTCCGGGGCAGGTGGGAATCGAACTCATGCTGAAGTGGCTTTAGCTTCTCAGTACTGTGCTTTAACCCGCTGCGCCACCAGGGAAGGCCTCAGCAACAGATTTAAGAAAATATTCAACTATGGCAAAGATGTTAGGATACTTTTGCACGTTAAAACACATTTTTCTGAATCATTCTGAACTGAGAAAGAAAACATTAAGGACCCTCCCTTCGCCTTTAAAGAATTCATAAGAAAGCTTTAAGATTGAAACTTGTGGTGGAAAAAAGACAAGAAAATAAGATGCCACAGAAAGAGTTATGATAAAAAGTGTTTTCTAGAGGATAAGTCTAAGAATGAATTTTAGAAAAAACTAATGAGAATAAGAAACACTATGGACCTCCCTGGTGGCACAATGGGTTAAATCACAGCAGCCACTGCAGTGAGTTCTGTCCCCAGCCAGGGAGTTGACCCACACTTTCTCCTGTCTCGCCTGCTGCTCCCCTTAGTGGTGTATTTCAGTCAGTCTGCCTGTTCTGCTCCCTACTCTGTCTGGTGAATTCTTTCACTGCTCCCGCCACTCGCCCACATCTCTGCCCTGTACCCCAAGTTCTTTTATGCATAAATAAATATTAAAAGAAGAAGAAGATGGCCCTCCCTGGTGGCGCAGCGGGTTAAAGCAC